CTGCCCCTCTGACAGCACCGCGGGTACCCCAATTCCCCCCGGGAGTGGGGAATCACCTGCAGCTGGAGAAGGGCAGGGATGGGGAGGGATGCCCGAGGCCTCCCCGCCCTCCCCCGGGCAGGGTTAAATCTGTCAGCAGGCCCCGGATCCCCGGAGCAGATGGTGTGAGATCCAGGAGGACACGGTGCCCTCGGAGCCAGGAAGGGACCTGGATGCAGCTCCAGACTCCCTTCACCTTCACTGGGTGGTGGAGCAGCGATGGTCAGGGGCTGTCACCTTTCCAGAGCTTCAGTGGCTGTCCCATGTGGCATCCCAGTGCCCAGGGTGACTCCCCCAGAGCTGAGCAGCCTGCAGGGAGGGGGGTGTGGGGTCCAGACACCCCCCAAAAGCAATTTCCCCCATACCCAGGAGGATGGTGTTTGGCCAGGAGCAGCAGCAGCTTTGGAAAAACCCTTCCCAGCACAGGCTGGACAGAGAGGGGTGAAGGTGCCAGCAGGTTTGGTGCCAAGCAGGACTCAAAGCCCAGCCCTGCTCCACTCCAGCACCTCCCAGCTGTGCTGCACCAGGTCACGCTACCCAGAGCTCAGCCTCAGAAATGCGTTTCATTCCAGTTTGGGCTTAAAAGGTGTTTGGGGGGAGCAGACAAACATTGTCACAGGAAGACTGGGAAACAACCATGCACGGTCCTCGTGAGCCACCTGTGGAAGGGCTGGAGAACAAGGGCTGGGGCAGCCGGGGTGATAAGTGGGAACAAACACAGCAGCAGACTCCAGGGAAATGTGCTGGCAGTGTGCCAGAGCCCGTGTGCCGGGAAGGGTGTGGTGGGAATGATAACGTGGCACGGAGGAAATCACCCATCCCACTGCCCTGGGAATGGAGACGGGCACAGGGACACCCCAGAGCCTGAAGTGCCAGCTGGGTCCTGCCCTCCACCCAGGGGATATGGAGGGCGAGGGAAGGGGGACAAGAAAGCCCAAAACAGCTGCTGACTCCAAACAGTGTGAGAACACCAGGTGTTTGTCCCCAGTGCTGGGGAGTGATGGTTCAGAGCCCCCCACCCTCCACAGAAACTGGGCACATGGGACTGACTTCCAGTGTGTACAAGTGATCAAAACTGGTCACATTTGAGTAAGAGCCACTTCCCTGGGATCCTGACCTGGGTCAGACTGGGCCACCATGGCCAGGGCTGCCCCTTGGTTGTGTCCCTGAGCACCAGAGCCCTGGGGATGCTGAGCCAGCCACAGGGACTAAGAGGATTGAGCCTGGGAGTGACTCACAGGGAGCCCTTGGACAAGGGGAAGAGCCAGCCACGACCAGGAGGGTGCCAGGCCCTCAGGGCAGTGGGACCCACTGGCCCCTCTGCTGGGCAGTGCTGGGGGGGCTCCTGGGGCACCCCATGGGCAATGTCCACCCTCCTCCCCAGGGCTGTGGGGTTTTACCCCACGCTACCAGGCACCCCACTCCCTGCTCTCTCCTTCCAGCACAGCTGGACTCGATTTCAAAGGTCCTTTCCAGCCTTGATGGTTCTCTACGATTCCGGCACAGCAACCCCTGGGCTCCCTGCCAGGGTCCAACCCCACAGCACTGGGGGCACCTCCCACCTGGGCACAGGGAAATCACAGCTCCATTCATTCCAGCTCCTGCTGCCAACACTTTATTCCCTGCCAGCCCCCCCTGGTGCCCAGGCTGGGCTGGCCACAGGGTTTGGGTTTGGGTGCCGGCAGCAGCCTCAGCCCTCCCGGCTCTGGTTAAACACGGGGGGATGCCCAGGCAGGCTCTGCCTCACCCTGCCCGCCCTAATGGCAACACCATTCCCTGCAGAAAGAAAAAACAGCCAAATCTTCCCAACTTTGCCACGAAACAACCCCCATCCCAGGGCAGAGGCTGCCACAGGCTCAGCCCTGGCCTGTCCCAACAGGAGAGGCCAAACCCACCGCGGGGGCGAGGAGGGCCCCGGCTCGGCACCAGCACCGAGGGCAATTTAGAAGCATCCCAACACCACAACCCACAAAGCGGGCGCCCGAAGCCCATCCTGGCCCCCAGCAAAGCTCAGGTGGGGAGAACGGAGCCGTTTCACGCCGAGCCGGCGTGGCAGCACCACGGCAGAGCAGCCCCAAGCCCTGCAGAGCCACGGCAGGCTCCGACCTGCTGAGCAGAGCCCACCTGGTCCAAGCCCCAAGCCAGGCTGCGGGCAGGCGGTGCTGATCCTGGCAGGGAAAACAGGGGCAGACCCAGGAAACAGGGGCTGGTGGGAGGCAAGTAGCAGCTCAGCCCGGATTTGGAGGGAAAAGGTGGTTGTAGGTGTGCCAGAGAGAGCAGATCCAGTTCCTCCTCCACCTCGGCGCGGCAGAGCCAGCAGGGGCAGGCACGGAAGCACGCCCGGCAGCGGGAGGGCAGCAGGTACCCCCCGTGCAGGCTCAAGAGGAGGCCTGCAGCTTGCAGAGCCCGTCAGCGTACTGGAACTGGGCGCCGTTCTCGTACTCGTACATGTCCAGGGCCACCTGGCAGCTCTCGCGCACCACGCGCTCGGCGTCGCCGGCGAAGGCGCGCAGGGCGCGCAGGCAGGACGGCCGCGCGATGGCCCCCAGCGCCTCGGCGCACTCGTGCCGCACCATGGGGTTCTCGGAGGGGCTGCCCAGCACGGCTGTGAGCTGAGGGACGCTCGCCTCGTCCTGCAGCTGCCCCAGCACGTAGCCCACCTCGTGGCGGAACAGCGCGCTGCCGCAGCGTAGCCCTGCGGGGAGGGGGGACAGGGACATGAGACACCCCGATGGGGAGCTGGGGGATGCCGTGGGTCACCGCCCCACCCCGTGGGTCACCGCCCCACCGCTGCTCCCTCATCCCAACCCCGCTCCGGTGCCCTCCCCCGATGGCAGCATCCACCCCCCCGGCAGAGCTGCCACCCCCTGCCTGCCCCGGGCCCTGCCCCATCACAAGACTGGCAGCCAAGGCCTCCAGCCTGCTGGGACAAAGCAGCTGGAGCAGGAGCTGACCGATCCCATCTCACAGACCTGGAGGTCCCAGATGGCTGGAGAGCCTCATCTACTTCCCTCAGACGGGGAGGTGGGCCCAAACGGTTCCTGGGCCATGCAGACATTTACTCCCCTCTCCAGAGCTACTCCCAAACCCCAGGCTGGGAGAGCAGGACCCCAAGACCCCAGGGCCAGGTCAGACAGGCTGGTCCTGGGCCACCATCACAGGCTGTGCCCTCCCACCCAGACCATTTAGGGAAGGGGTTCTGGAATACACCAGAGACCACCAGCACTGCAATGTGGTGGGGAGGCAGCAGCTCCAGACACAAACATGTGAGAGCAGCTCTGGCATCCCTGGATTTGGGAAGGGCTCATCCCAGATTAACCTGGACAGCCTCCCAGCAAGGACAACCCCTCACCTTCAGCCAGTGCCAGCACGGCCTCCCGGCCGCCCCGGTTCCGCAGGGCGAACATGGCGCGGTACCGCTCGAACAGCTCCCGGGACTCGTCCAGGAGGGTCTCCCGCAGTTTGGCCACGTCGGTCTCCTCAGCGGGAGGAGCGGGATCCACGGACAGGTACGGGCTGGGGCCTGGCTTCTCCTTGTTCTCCTGCAGCCACTCCAGCCTCCTCACGGCCAGCTGGCACGTCTCTGCCACCTGAGGGACGGGCACACGGCTCTGGCTGTGGGACGGTGCGGGGAGGTCCCCAGCACACAGCAGGATGGCACCAGCCAGGGGCAGGAGCTGCCTCACCCTCCCAGACCAGCAGTGCTGCATCCCACGGGAAATGACCCCCCAGGATCCTCACCTCAACCACGGGGTCCTCAGAATAGCGTCTGAGGATATCCAGCACCTTGGGGTTCCCGATAGCGCCCAGGGCTTCACCTGAGAGAAGGAAGGACGTGTCAGGACAGGACTGGGCTGTCAGTATGAGGAGAGCCCTGCTGTGTCCTCTGGCAAAGCCTTGCCCTGCTCTGAAATATGGAC